TCCAAGAGGCTATTTTCGGCACTCACGAAGGGCGAGGCTAATTGAAGCTCCTCCCTTTTTGGATCGATGTCTTCCAACATGGCTCCGAGAGCGTCCCCAAGGCTCCCAAGAGCGCCCCAAGAGGGCCCCAAGAGGCGCCCAGGAGGCCACAAGAGGCGTCCAAGAGGCCTCAAGAGGCTCCCACGAGACCCCCAAGAGGCTCCCCGAGGCGCCCAAGAGGGCCCCGGGACAGCCAAGAGGCCCCCAAGACGCCGCAAAAGGCCTCAAGTTCGCCATGTTCCTCCTCAGGCCAGAGGCACTCGTCGTCGCTCAAAGAGTCCCTCCTCCTCCTCCTCCTCCTCCTCCTCCTACTCCTCCCCCTCAGCATCATCACCATCATCACCATCATCACCATCATCTGCATATGTATCATCATCCTCCGCCTTCTCTTCCTCCTCCTGCGAACGATAACGGCTGCCCCTCTCTTTGTTCCTACACTTCCCTGATCACCTCTGCTCGCCTGGGCGTCGTTTCTACTCGCCCTGGCATCGTTTTCTGGATGGGCTGGTGGGGATACATGAAGTGTCAAGAATTCCTGAATCGCGTCCCCTCCGCGGTCCATTTAATTATAAATACTGATATGCGGAATGGGAGGTTTAACGAAGATGCTAGACCGTACTTATCCAACGCTTCTAAGCTCTTCATAGCGGACAAGTCACCCTGGTAACCGCGGAGTACCACTTGTACATGTTCTGGCAAGCTGGTAACCCATCTCCGTCTGAGACCCTTTTATACTTCCCCTCTTCTGTATATGTTCTGGCAGCTTGTCATTCTGGATGTACCACGTGTCTTCGCCTAACTTGTTCACCACTGGTTCGGCGATAACAAATCCTTTGTTTATCGTCGTCCTCATGCTGCTTTACCACGCTGGCTTTCGCGTATTATGATGCCGTTAACCGACAGCTGAGGATTCTAAACATGTCGTCATCGTCATCATCCTCGTCCTGCTACATCCCCTCCATGGCTTTAAGCTTACCACCCCGGTCGTTGAACGTCTTCCAGTACTGTGGGTACACTTGGGTTAGGGCGTTCAAACGCGTTTCACTCCAATCGCGGAATTGGGTTCGGTCACAGGGAAAGGTCTTGTGCTCCTGCGTGGCTTATATCCGTTAACTGGATTTTGATTGCTCACCGACCTGCTTTTGCCATCAGCTCTCGTTTCGGTTATCTCCATCACCTGGTCCATATTATCCTTTTGTACATTCGCTTGGTTCTCCAAGCCCTCGATTCTTAACTGGAGGGTCTTTGCCTCTTCTTTTGCCTCCATGTTGCGGCTCACGATGCCTAGAAGTGAGAGAGCGTGTTTCCCGGACGCTTGCCTTTGGAACATTCGGCGGCGCGTTTCGAACCGCGGGGGGGTCTCTTCCCAACATTCGGCGCCGTGAATCAGAATTGGCGGCGCGCACAAGGGGGTAGGGGGAGGGGGGACGGCTTCTTAGAAGGAGGCTGCTTCGTAGAAGGCGCCGGCCTCACATCTACAAAGGAGGCCCGCGCCTTCTGAGAAGCAGGGGTGCTTCTAAGAAGCCTTCCCCCCTCCCCCTACCCCCGTCTGCGCGTGGCCAGCAGAACCAGGGGGACTCCCTCCCCTCCCCCCTAACGCCCTCCCCCTCCCCGACCTCCCCGCCAGGGTTCGAACCCCCCCCCCCCAGCGCGGGCGTTGGCGCTGGCGCTGGCGGCGGCCGGCAACGCCGACGGCGGGGACGCAGCGACGAGGACCACCGAGGACCCACAGGCCGCAGAGGGGAAACACAAATCGACATATCGAGCCCTCGCCCCCCAAAAGCCACAGGGAGGCTCCTAGGAAGGTCCAAGAGACGCCCAAAAGGCGCCCAGGAGGCTTCACAAATGCTCCCCCGACTCCCCCGAGACCCCTCTGACGAGACCCCAAGAGGCATCCAGTAGAACTCTGACCCGGTACCAAGGCACGGTGGCGGGAAGACCCGAAGGCCACACCACCGCCACCAACCCAAACCACCAGACCACCACCACCACCACCACCGCCACCACCACCACCACCACAACCCACCACCAGCACAACCACCACCACCACCACCACAAACCACTACACCATCACCACCACAACCGCCACCACAACCACCATCACCACAACTCACCGCAACCAACACCGCCACCACAAACCACCACACCACCACCACCATCACCACCAACGCCACCGCCACCACCACAACCCACCACCATCGCCACAAACCACCATACCACCACCACCACCGCCACCGCCACCACCACCACCACCACCCACCGCCCACCACCACCACCAGCAGCACCACCACCAGCACCACCACCACCAACACCACAGCCCACCCCCTCCACCACCAAACCACCACGCCACCACCACCTCCACCGCCACCACGACCGCCACCACCACTACCACCACCACAACCAACCACCACCACCAACCACCACACAACCACCACCACCACAGCAACCACCACCACAACAACCCCCCACCACTACCACAACCACCACCACCACAATCCACCACACCACCACCACCACCACTACCACCACCACCACAAACCACTACACCATCACCACCACGACCGCCACCACAACCACCATCACCACAACTCACCGCAACCAACACCGCCACCACAAACCACCACACCACCACCACCATCACCACCAACCACCACCACCACCGCCACAAACCACCATACCACCACCACCACCACCACCACCACCACCCACCGCCCACCACTACCACCAGCAGCACCACCACCAGCACCACCACCACCAACACCACAGCCCACCCCCTCCACCACCAAACCACCACGCCACCACCACCTCCACCGCCACCACGACCGCCACCACCACTACCACCACCACAACCAACCACCACCACCAACCACCACACAACCACCACCACCACAGCAACCACCACCACAACAACCCCCCACCACTACCACAACCACCACCACCACAATCCACCACACCACCACCACCACCACCACCACCACCACCACAAACGACCACACCACGACGACTACCACCACCACAAAACACCACACAACCACCAACACCACCACCCACCACCACAAACCATCACACCACCATCTCCACCACCGCCACAACCACCGCCTCCACCACTACCACCACAAACCACCACACCACCACCACCACCGCCACCAGCACCACCACCGCCACCACCACCACCAGCATCACCACCACCACCAACACCACTGCCACCACCACCACCACAACCCACCACCACCACCACCACCACAAACAACCACAGCAACCACCACGACCACCACCACCATCACAACCACCACCCACCACCACAATCACAACCACCACCACAAACCACCACACCACCACCTCCACGACCACCACCACAACCACCGCCACCACCACCACCACCACAACCTACCACCACAACCACCACTACCACCACCACCACCACCACCAACCACCACACCACCACCGCCACCACCACTACCACCACAATCCACCACCACCACAACTACCACCACCACCACATGATACCATGACACCACCATCACCACCGCCACCACCACCACCACAACCTACCACCACACCGCCACCACCACTAGCACCACCACCACCACCACCACCACCACAACCCACGACCACCACCACCGCAGAGAGGCCTCAAGAGACGCCCAAGAGGCGCCCAGGAGGCTTCACAAATACCCCTCAGAGGCCCCCGAGAGTCCTCCGACAAGACCCTAAGAGGCATCCATCAGGACTCTGACCCAAAACCAAGGCACGGTGGCGGGAAGGCCCGAAGCCCCCCCCTTCCGTGACGGGGGGAGGGTCGAAACCAACCCCCCCCTCCCCCCTCCAAGCGCCCTCTTTTCTTAGAAGTAGGGACTACACTTTTTGGGCCATCAGTAACAGTCCGTCTTTCTTCGTTGGTGACAGTTCTGCCACCAGCTGCGGTCTGTGTCCTGATGAACCCTCTCATACCCTCGTGGTTAGTCCTCAGTGCTACCTTTCCATAACTGCTATCACCCCAAAAGCACGCGGCTTCGCATAGCTCACTGAACCTCATTGGATTTGAAATCAAACCATTGGTCTCAGTCCTGGGGCGTGTTTCACTCCGGGAGCGGATCTCCTGGGTCAGCGAGTGCTACTGCTGCCGCGGCTGCCACAAACCTCGCTTCGCTACCATGCCCTGGAACGATGTGTTTTACCAGCGGCGCTTGGCGGGCGCTCCACTGATAAGTACTTGAGCAAAACGGCGTTGGTAACAACAACCGTTCGACACATATGCGATGCTTCGTTCCTCAACTAGTCGCTAAGCCTTGCTGTAACACGTCATCCTGTTCCTCCTCCTCTTCCTCCTCCTCCTCATCATCAGAATCATCATCATCATCATCATCATCATCATCATCATCATCATCATCATCATCATCATCATCATCATCATCAGCATCATCAGCATCATCATCATCATCATCATCATCATCATCATCATCATCATCCTCATCATCACCATCATCATCATCAGCAGCAGCATCAGCATCAGCATCAGCATCATCATCATCATCATCATCACCACCATCATCATCATCATCATCATCAGCATCGTCATCATCATCATCATCAGCATTATCATCATCAGCATCATCATCATCCTCATTAACATCATCATCATCAGCATCATCATCAGCATCAGCATCATCATCATCATCATCATCATCAGCATCATCATCATCATCATCATCATCATCATCATCATCATCATCATCATCATCATCATCCTCATCCTCATCCTCCTGCTCCTCCTCCTCCTCGTCCTCCTCCTCCTCGTCCTCGTCCTCCTCTTCTGCCTCCTCGTCCTCCTCCTCCTCGTCCTCGTCCTCCTCTTCTGACTCCTCATCCTCCTCCTCGTCCTCCTCCTCCTCCTCCTCCTCCTCCTCCTCCTCCCCTCCAATCCCCAGCCTCCATCCCACCATTGGTCGCCCTTCAAGGACCAGTTCCAATTGGGATTGGGGCCCGCGTCCATGGCGACGTGCGTCTGCTCCTGAAGAAGGGGAGCCGGCCAGTGGAGAGGCAGGCGACGTCGAGATCAAGGGAGGAGGAGCAGCAGAAGGAGAGGTCCCTCTGGGCAGGAGGAGCAAGAGGAACATCAAGAAGCCACCTGCGCCCAAGAAAGTACCTGCGCCCAGGAGGAGGTCCCTCTGGACCAGGAGCAGCAAGTGACGATGAGAAGCAGGAGAGCCAGCTGGGTGACCACCTGCTACCACGAAGAGGTCCTTCTGGGCGCAGGTGGTTTGTTAGATCCCTACCTCTTCCAGCCCTTTCCCTCGAACCTATTGTTTCATCATTCGCGACAACGGCCCTTACACGCCTACTCCTCCTCTGCCTCCCCCCTGGTAACGTCACGATTCGCGCTGGCGCCGTCTAGAGATTAGCCACTCCTAAGCATCCCCAGACGGCGCCAACACGAATCGTGACGTGACCCGCCCCCTCCTCCACCCCCTCCTGGTCACGCCCGCTATACTCGAGGGATCCGAAAATTATCTCTTCCCTTCGGGGAGGGGCATACGCATCACTGCTCCCTGTTCATGAATACCCCCTCCCTCACTCGACCGGCCGCTGGCCAAGAATTGGGGGTGGCCCTGCCCTCATATCCCTGCCAGAAACAATAACGGGCGGACGCGGTTGAGAAATCTGAGAAATCTGGATCGTGAGCGGGACCCCATGCGATCTCTCGATGTGCAGGCTTATGACACGCTTGGTGGGGAGAGAGCATATTTGTGCGCTGTGCGCTGTGCGCTGTCCCTGTCAAAATGTAAAGCAAATTCTCTGCGGGTGCACACCATGCACCGTGCTGAACACCCCGACGCCCCTTCGCGAGTCCGTAAACAGCTTGTCTGTATGGAAGCCCTGTATGCTAAGAAGCTTTTAGATGCGAATGCCGGATCCGGAATCGCTCGGGCGACAATGCTTCCCATTGTCTCCCGTTGTCACCCGTTGTCTCCCCATTGGCTCCCGTGGCCTCCAGTTGCCTGCCCCTATCCCTATATCCGCATCCCTAGATCCCTATCCCTACCTTTATCCCTATCCGTATCCCAATTGTTTCCCGTTGTCCCCCATTGTCTGGCATCCCCATACATATCCCTGTCTATATCCCTATCTCTTTCCCTCTGCCTCAATCCCTATCCCTATCCTTACACGTTGCATTATCATCCCAATCCTACGTCCCTATTACCCATCCCAATCTCTACCCTTGTCCATATCCCTGTAGTCCTAGCCGAGCGTTACCCATGTACCTGTCCTGATCCCGTTCCCCGCGTGGTGGCCCCAATCGTACATATGCAAAGCTGCTCAGGGCCTTCTGCCGGAAGGGTGTCATGCGTGGCGGCACAGATGGTGGCGGGTTCAACACGCTGCCCGCTGCGCGCAGCCACGGGCACAGGCACCTGGCGACCTGTGCGCGTCGCGCACCTGGCACACCTGGCGCGCCTGGAGCAGGTGGCGCATCTGGCGCGCGGGATTTTGTCCTGGACTCAACGCGTGTACAGTAAATGCGTGCTGCTAGCACGGCCCCTTACAGGGCCTCTGAGGCTAAAAACGGCTGCGGAGTTTGGGAAGCCTTGCTGCAAACCCGTCTCTCCCGCCTGTGCTACACTGTGTATGCAACTGCGTTCGCAGCTGATTCAGACTGATCTTCGCATGATGCTCAAAGCAACGTCGCATGCACCACTGGATTTCCTAAACGGTGCTGCTGCAAGTGGAGCGCGTGGCGCATCTGACGCACCAAGCACGGCTGGCACGCGCGGGCCCCTGGGGAAGTCGGCGCACCCGGCGCGAGCAGCGCACCTGGCACGCGCGGCGCACCCTCGCGAGCGGCGCACACCAAGCGTGCGCGTGGTGTTTCCCAGGGAATCTCCAGCCGATGGCGGTGGCGGCCAGGGCGGAGTCTGTGGTAGGGGACGATCCACAAGAAGCCTTTCACAAAAAAAACAACCCTGAGACCCCAGGACGTCCGTTGATTTTGGGTGTGGGAACGTGACGCTTTCCAACACAAGACCATCGAAACCCAAGAAACCCAGGGCACCCTGGAGGCAAGCAGGGTGCTTCTTGGCATGGGCCCCCACTGCATGGTTGGGGGGCGGGCGAGCGAGCGAGACGGCCGTGGCATCTCCCGTGGGGAACTCGACCCCCTCCCCCCGTGACCCCTCCCCTGGGGGTCGGAGAAAAGGGCTGCGCAGGGGGCCCGGAGGTAATGTCTGGCCCGAGGTGGCTCCGAGATGGCCCCAGCCGAAGACTTCGGGCGTCGCCGCCCAAGCCGAATGGTGCCGACCAGTGCCGGATAGTGCCCATTAGGGCTGGAGGTCATCTTCAAGATGGCCTCCAGCCCGGCACAGCACAGCCCAAGGTGGCTCACGCTCGCTTCCAGCATGCCTCAGAGAGGCCTCGAGACGGCTCCAAAAGTGGCCACGAGGCCTCCCAATGCGACACACTCCGCTCCACACTTGCGGCCTTTGAGTGCTGTATGGCCTTCTCTAAGGGCTCAAGATGGCTCGAAGAGCCACGAGTGCCCCAAAATAGCTCAGAAGAGGGAATTGGTCCGGCTCCGACGGAACGGTGCAAATTCGAGAACCCCTTCGCTCAAAGCCTGAGTCATTGAAACGCCCAGGCTCGACGTGGCCTCCAGCATACATCCATGAGGCCCGAAGAAGCTTCAGAGACTGCTCCAAGTGGCCCCAGGGCACTCCCAAGTATTCCCTCGACAGGCCAACATCATTCAACTCAAACAGTTTTGAATGATGTCGGCCTTCTCGCCTTTCGATTCCGATGGGCTTCTTAATTGCCCAAGAGAGCTCCAAAAGTGACCCAGATGAGCTCCAACCCAGAGCACTCGAGGGCGTCCAAAGAGCTTCCCAAGTGTGCCCCAAGAGCCGATGTTCGGGCTCCGACAGGAACATTGATTGAGTCCACCCTCTTGTGTGCTCGATGTCGTCCATTAAGGCCCCAAGAGCGCCCGAAATTCTCACATGAGGCCCCAAGAACAGCAGGAGGGCCCCGAAAAGAGCCCCCACAGCATCCAAAATGGCCCCCAGGTGCTAAGATGGCCCAAGGAGCTGCCAAAAGGCTCCCATGTCGAAAGATCCGCGAAGGCATTCCTAGTTGACTCATGTGTCTGCTCATGCTGATCCCGAGCTGCGACTGCCCCTGCTGGAGAGGACCCCAACGTAACCCAAGAGACCCCAGAATTTGTCCCAAGAGAGCCCCAACACAGCCACAGAGGCCTCCAAGACGTCCCTACAGCGCCCCACGAGGGCCCAAAGACAATCCCAGAGAGGTCTCCAAGATGGCCTCCGAAGGCGTCAGACGGACCAAAGGCGCTCTGGGACGGCCCAAGGTGGTCAGAAGAGGCTCCAAGAGGCCCCGAAGAAGCCACCAGATGCTCCCACGAGGCCCTCCAGACGCCATCAGGAGACCCCTAATATGCGCCAAGACGGCCCCAAGAAGCAACCAAGAGACCTCTTCCTCCTCCTCCTCCTCCTCCTCCTCCTCCTCCTCCTCCTCCTCCCTCCCCATCATCATCATCATCATCATCATCATCATCATCATCATCATCATCATCATCATCATCATCATCATCATCATCATCATCATCATCATCAGCAGCAGCAGCAGCAGCAGCAGCATCAGCATCAGCATCAACATCAACATCAACATCAACATCAGCATCATCATCATCATCATCATCAGCATCATCATCAGCATCAGCATCAGCATCAGCATCAGCATCATCATCATCAGCATCATCATCATCATCATCATCAGCTCATCATCATCAGCAGCAGCAGCACCATCATCAATATCATCACCATCAGCAAAATCATCAGCAGCATCATCATCATCGCCATTGTCATCATCATCATCATCATCATCGCCATTGTCATCATCATCATCATCGTCATCATCATCATCAGCAGCATCATCATCATCGTCATCATCAGCATCATCATCACTCATCCTCATCATCCCTCTCCCTTCTTCGCCTCATCGTCCTCCATTTTCGGTTCCTCCCCCTGAGGGCCCCACGACACGCCAAGATGCCACACCAACGGGCCGATCTCCCAAAAGGGGGTCCGCCGTGGCTCCCCCACCTGTGACTGAAACTGCTCTCTTTCCCACCGAGCAATGCAGATGTTCGCAGATTCGCAGAAGGGTGGGACATCCACCGCCGCCGCCGCATGCCGCGCTCTCAGGCGAGCAGCTCCTGCGCGAGCACCTTGAGGGCGCCAAAAGAATTCCCGCTGCCGTGCACGAAGCACACTGCAGAACCGGTTATCGCGTTCGTGAAGGACTTCGTGCCCGATGAGGTTGTCACCGTGACGGGGATGCTCCCGTCTAGCTTCATGTTGTTCAGGGAGAGCACCAGGACGCCAGCGTAGTCGAGAGCCACCTTGTCAGGGTTGTGGAGGAAGTACTCGTTGACTAGGCGATTCTCCGAGTCGGACCAGAAGTACATATCGGCAAACATGTCTGAGATGTCCCCGATAGGTCCCATGATGAAAGCCGAGCTCGCATACTGATACTTGGGCGGAGTGGTACAGTACCCGACAGTTGTGTTGGTGCAATCGGCATATGTTGTGGCAAAGGTTGGGTCAACGGCAAAACTTGACAGGAAGCCAGACATGGTTGAGGTGATGCTGGGATACTGGTCGTAGCGCCACGCAATCTCCTCAGGCCAAGGGCTCACCTCGGCAGCCAGGACTATCGTCTGAGTTCCACCGCTGGCGGTGATGATCTCATTGTACTTGTAAGAGATTGTGTTCTCGTCGCAGCCGGCATACAGGGTCTCGCCACTGGCATGGAGAACGACGATCTTCTCGGTGTTGCGGGTTGCAAGGTAATCAATCCACGTCTTCACGGCCAAAAACCTCAGCCTCTGCCAACCCCAGACAGTCGTAGCTCCAGACGGATTCACCATACCGTTAAGGTGCCTCACCGTTTCGCCTCCGACACCTGTCATGCGGTATTCTGTCGGTGGCATGGCGGGCTTCTTGTTCTCCTTTATCAGCACCCTGCCCATCGCGACATTGGGCGGGAAGCCGTCCAACTCACGCTGAGTCTCGAGAGAATCTGGAGCCACATAAAGCTCGTATTTCTCTTCAATCGGGTGGTCTTGGACGGAACCCACATCCCTGTTCGACGGCCTGTTGAAGACAGCCTCCCAGGGGCTCGGCAAGATCTCCTCCGCCCAGGCAAGCACCTCTTCTGCGAGCTCGGTCGTCAGAGCTTCTCCCTCTGCGCGCACACGAGCAGCGCCGAGCAGGCTGAACCCCGCTGCGAGGCGGGCGAACATGATGTCGAAAGTCGTCAAGTAAAAGGAAGTGGCACTACAAAAGCTATGGAAGAGCCAAATTGATGGCTTGAGCCAAAAGCGGCTGTGGAAGGGCCCCAGGCACAGACGCAAGGTCACCGACCCTCTGGGGGTCCTCAGCGTGTGAGGTATCGGCCTCTCCCCAACCCCCTCCCGTGGGAGCCAAGCCCGCCCTGTTTAGGGGGGGAAAAGGCGTTCGCAGCCAATGGTCCCGCCTCCCGCCAGTGCAGGCGAACTCATCCGCTCCGGAAACGCGCAGGCCCGTCAGGATGGCCCCCAAAGCCTCCACAAGGCTTACCATATCGCGCAAGGGCCCATGACCGCCCTGGAGGGCCCCAAGACGCCCCAAAGGGCCCGAGGAGCTAAGAGGGCCTCCAGACTGCCCCGTGGGGCCCCCAGGCGGCCCCAAGACGGCCCCAACGTAGCCCATTGGGGCCCCAAAAACAGTCCAATACGGTCCCCAGGAGAGGCCCCCAATGCAGCCCCAAGCCGCCCCGAGAAACCCCAAAAAACAGTCCAGGAGCGGACTGCCTCCAACGAAGGGCCGGAGCAAGGACCACGAAGAGCCCCACGCGGCCGAACCCCTTCCAACTCCTCAAGACCAGGTAAGCGCGTTCCACTACTCGCAAAGTAACTACTCGCAAACGGCCTGGATCCGCCACAGGGAATTCGCGATAAATTACATGACATCGAGGTAGACATGTGCTTTTGTTCGGACGCTTGCGAGTACGTAGGCATCTTGCGATTAGCGGAACGCGCTCGGTGAAAGACATCATCCTTTCCTTGACGCCGGCGGTCTCGGGATGCCGGAAGCCTGTCGGACAAAAAGCGCGGGGGGGGCCAGCATCAGAGGTGCCTCGGGCGGGCCGCGGGCGGATGTGGATACGACTCGGCAGGGATGCGCCCTGGGGTCACCGGCGCCAGTCCTCGCAGGGCATGCCGCGGTCCGCCCGCGTGGCCGGCGGTGACCCGCCAGATCCGCTCCCTGAAGCAGATCCCTCTGCAGCCGCGACGACCCTGGCCAGGATATGGATTCGAAACTCCACATGGATGCGCCCTGGGGTTACCGGCCGGTCCTCGCAAGGCATGCCGCGGTCCGCCCGCGTGGCTGGCGGTGACCAGCCGAATCCGCTCCCTGGTCAGATCCCTCTGCAGCCGCAACGACCCTGGCCAAAATGTGGATGGAAAACTCGACAGGGCAGCGCCCTGGGGTCAACGGCCAGTCCTCCCAAAGCATGCCGCAGTCCGCCCGCGCGATCGTTCGGTGGCAACTCATGGGAGCCTCCCATACCATCTTGTCGGCTCTTGCGAATCGACGCTAATCGACGCTAAATCGACGCTAATCGACGCTAAATCGAAGCTAGTCGACGCTAGATCGACGCTAATCGACGCGAACCGACGCTAAATCGGCGCTGCCTCATCGACTCCCAAATGTTAATCGACGCTGGTCGACGCTGAAGACGCAATTAAGAGGGTGCACCAGGCTTCCATGATTTGCTGCCGAACGATCGGCTGACCAGCCGGATCCGCTCCCTGCTCAGACCCCTCTGCAGCCACAACGACGCTGGCCACCCCTGGCCCGAGGGGCCAGGGCAAGCTGGCCCCAGTCGGAGACGGCGAGACTGGGGGCATTCGGGAGAAGGGGCCATGGGGGGCCGTCTTCGGCCGTCGCGAGGGGGAGGAGGACGAGGAGGAGGAGGAGGAGGAGAAGGAGGAGGAGGAAGATGAAGGCGGAAGAGGAGGGCAGGGAAGAGAAGCAGGTGGAGGGGGGGAAGGGCAGAGGGAGGAGCAGAAGGACGAGGTTAAGGGGAAGGGGCCAGCGGAGAAGAGAGAGGAGGCAGAGACGGGGGAAGAGAAAGACCAACAGGAAGGGAGGGAGTGAACGAGGAGTAAGAGGAGGAAGAGAAGGAAGAGAAGGATATACAGGTAGAGGATGGAGAGAATGGGAAGGGGATGGAAGGAGGAGGAAGAGGTGAAGGGAGAGGTGGAAGAGAAGGACCAGGAGGGGGCGTAGGAGGGAGGTGAAGAGGAGGAAGAAGGACAAGGGAGAAGCTGGCAACGAGTGAACGCCAGCGTGAAGGAAGGCAGACGGAGCGGCGGATACAAGGGAAGATGAAGGCAAAAAATC